TGGACAATTCCTAATAATCAACTATATGGATACATTTACAACGAGGCTGCTGTGATACTTTCACTTGGTACTGCTCAAAGCGAGTCGTCATTCAAATTGTTTGTCCATTATCTCAACAACGTCGACTATCACCATCAAATCCGAAAAGCTGCATTATTTTCTGTGGCAAGATACAACACAGTTGAGGTAAAAAGTAACCGCTATAAATAAGCAAAAGATTGTACAAGATTCATGCGTATTTATAATTGAACAGCATTAAACATAGTTATGAATGTTATACAACTTCACAGGCTGCAGAACTGCTGTTTGTGGTATACAGCTCAGATATCTCTGACAATTTGCGACACGAAGCGCTCAAAGAATTAGAAATACATCCATACCGTGGTCACTTAGAAGAAAATATACACAGGTATTACACATAATATTATGCTTACATTTCGCATAATAACTATTAGATACTATCCGTCAGTACATTTCAATGTGATGTACCAAAGAATGCAATGTGTTATAGGTGAAATTATCGGAGATAGTAGCATGGTCCACCACCCGCGAAAAAGAAAGGACACCGGGTCGGTCATGGTCCTAATAAATCAAGTCAAGGCATTTTGGCAAAATGATAACATTTAAAACGTTATTAGAGCAACCTAAGTATGTGAAGTAATTTGACAATATAACAAATTAGATTTTTTACCATACGCATTTATTTCAGAACTTCAAAGACATCCAATTATACAAATGTGAAAAAATCTATCCCATTAACAAGTAACACGTACGAGGGACGGGTTTTTGATGTGTCTCCAGAAGATCTGGATTGGCACAGCGATTTTGGCACTATATTTATAGGTGGAACATACGCTGTTGATGCCGAAAACAAGTACATTGTTACCGTTGGTAAGTACATCTATTATTTAGATACTTACATGCTTCGTGAATTACGTTTTCACAATATGTGCTAAACAAATATTGTTGCTGGAATGATTTGTTTTATTTCATTTCACCAGAAAACTTCAGAAGCCTTGCTGAATTAAACTCAAATACTGATTCGTCTATCAGAGGTCGCATACTCCGGATGGACATTTTTTCTAATTTTGTCAGGATGGAAACTAACGTAAAAGGTACCATTGAATATGACGGAAATGTCTTGCAGGCAAGTTATACTTCTTGAATTTAGTTCATGACAGTTAATGTGATCTAATGTTAATCTGATATGGCATTAACTATATAACATTAAAATTTCGCACAGGAATGGGATTACAACATGATAGAACAACGAACGCATCATTACGATGAAGTTGTTTACAAAGTAATTGGCGATCTTCGCGATCCGATAACCAACTTTACCGAATTGATGTTTCAAGATGACAAGTCACCAAGGGAGTTATTCACAAACCTAGCACTAGCAGCTGGAAAATTAATTGACGATGTGAAAGATCTGCGCAGAACTGCCAGGGTAGCAACACGTACAGTTGGGTCTTATAGTGATCTCTCCGTTGTCTACCTAGACGTATTAAATATTGTGGAAAGGGTCGATAGTCTGTTCAACAATATGAAATCTGATGTCATGGACTTCTACAATGTTAGTTTTTCTTAGTTAGCTATTCGGCTAATTGATACTTACCTGTTATATCTCATACGTGTTTTACATAGGGTTTACTAATATTGCATTCGTTATTTAAATATGTTTCAGAACATTATAGACTTGTTGGAAGTGAATATTCCATGGGGAATACAGCAACTCGAAGACGCTTTGAAATCATCACATTTTGCAATAGAGAAGTTGTTTGACTCACCAAATGTTGGTATAGCGGATACACGAAAGATGGTGTTGAAGTAAGGAGCAACGTTTATGCTAGAATGTGGTGGCAACAAATAAGTTAAAACTAGTGTAGTATAGGAAAAATTATCTAATATTCTCTGATATTTTTCTTCGTTCAGCTAGAAACAATACTAGTTACGTAAAAGCAATTTCATTTACGCGGCATTTACGCCACGAGTTTCGTCCCCAGCTGAATGAAAAAAAATAATATAAATAATGTTATTATCACCAGTCACAGGTAGCATAGTGCTTGTTGCGTCAGACTCATGGTCGGTAGACCCAATATTAAATCCTACCTCAGGCTGTATACGAAAAGGGTCTACCCCTACCCTGGGTAAATGTGTCAATGGGAATGGACTCAATGGGTAGGCCAATATCCACTGGCCGGGATTCATTCACTAATGAATGCGACTATGGGGGAACCTTGGTTAAGTTCTGAGAAGTCGCCCACGGATTTCATAGGCTTACGTGTGGTGGCGTCATTTCAATGAAACGTGACACGTTTTCAGAGATTTAACGTGGTGTTTTATTACTTTGGGGATGCTAATTTATATAGTTTATTGAAAATAGTTTGTAACTAAATTTCTTCGTTTTATAATTTTCTGTAACCACGTTCAAATGTAAAAACTTGTTCTGTTTATTCCGAGAACTCGGGGAAAACAGTTCCGTCTTGGCATAGACAAGGTTTCAATGACGTAGATAACCAGGGTATGAAACAGTATTTTCTGTGCACCGGGGAAGAGCGTGGCTTGAGCTTGTAATAATTGTGAACCGTCACTACCTAAAAACACTTGATTCCCGGTCGTGTCACAAAGCCACGTATCACATATTAACTTTTATCTCATGATAACGAGCATTTCGTATCACACGGTCACGTTGTCCGCAGGTAACTTTGTAAATCATTATCAATTTCTATAGTTACTACAATAATTATTATTTGAGATAAGGGTTGATTATTTTAATTACAAATAATAAGTTCTATAAGTTTTTATAATTCATAATGATTAAAGTAATCCAACATGTCCGGAATTGACAGTATTTGCCAAACAGAGACATACATATAGATACCACTAACAGATAATGCAGTACAAACAGTCCATGGAGTATGAAGTTACCGGGTGGTACGGAATGACTATGTGGTACAAATTGACCATGTGATAAAAATTGACCATGTGGTACTAAACAATTGTGTGGTAAGAAGTTATTATGTGATATGAAGTAGTAATGTTGTATCAACTGCCGTGCGACTGAAGTGACGTGAGATGAAGTGCTTTTTGAACGGCGTATACTATGCAATTATGTTTGTCCTACACTTTTCTTTTTATTATGTTTTAGGCAAAAGGCTGCTATAGACGAAATTGGAGTTTCTATGTTCAACATTTCCAAATCCTCATTGTTAGCAGGTAGCAGTTTGCATTTTTTTTCAACCAGTGACGTTGTACGTACACTTATGGTAGATATTCTGCACATCCAGGATTCCTGGTCAAATACAGAGGACATTTCAAACAAGCCTATTGAAACTGATCCATATCTCATGTTCTTAGGAGAAAACAAAGTAAGTGATACCACTTTATAGCGATAGCCTTCTTTGTTTCTGTTATTGACCATATATTGTATATATATATATACGTGTGTGTGTGTGTCAGTTGTAGTCGTATTTCCGCACTAAATAATACGTGTATTTGATTGGAAATTTTCCTTATTAATAATCGTATTTCCCTAAAAATGTAAACACGTAAAGATCGTATTTTTATATAAGACTACAGTCAAATTGTCTACATTGAAGACTGTGAACGATGTCCTGCAAGACGTAATGGCACCTCTGAATGGTCTAGATATGGTTGTTAATCCCTTTCTAAAATCGTACTCTGACGCAGTGAACATATTCAGGGATATGAAAAACAAGTTCGAAGAAGTGAAAAGGGGGTAAGCTGTATAACACAAATATAACTTCACTTCACGCTCGTTAATACTGATATACCGTCTATAATACAAACCTCTGATACAATTTAAGAACAAATAATGTATGTCAAATAACTGTATAGATTTCTAAATTATATGTAAATTTATACAGGTTTGAAGTTTCTAAGTCGCTCATTAATTCAGTATTTGGTCCAAAGATTGCCAAAGCATTCCCACGTAAGATTGGCAACACAACATGTGGGTTTGGATATTATCCAACGACAGTAGATGGTACACAACCTGGAATAGATCTCGAAGTAGAGGTGAATGCTGTAAGGACTTATGCCATTTATCTTACAAAAAATACACCACAATGATTATTTAACAAACAACATTACACTATTTATTAACAGTTAACAATATTTCCCTTGTTTTTATTAAATAGGCTTTAGTAGCTCCTTTTGATGGATTCGCCAAAGTAACTGCTAACCAGCAAGTGAGCATTTTTATGTATACCCAAGATATATCAAATGAAATCGGTGACATAGAAGTGATCATATCACCCGTGCAAATTGAAAAAAACAGAGAGAACCATCCGGTAAGTTGTTTGATGGCATAGGAATTTTAAACAAATATGAGGATTGTAATTGTTATTCATATGATATGATATGATATGTTGTCGTGTTTATGCAGGTATATAAAGGTGAGGTGATCGGCACAGTGCTAAAGTCTAATTGTTCACCGAATATTATCCATCTAACAATGACAAGAATAGGCGAAAACAAGTATCTAAATCCCCAACCTTTTTTGGAGAGAAGAGATGTCAATAGCACTTGGAAAGAAGAAGATAATGCTTATTTTCATTACTTCCTGGTAGGTTTTGTCACCACAAATGTCACATTACTGTCTTCCTGGTATTTTGGGGGGTTATTCGGTAGAACGACTTAGCTTGGCAGTTCTGGGTCAACTGGAGGATTTCGCGCACCAGGGAACAAAAATAACACACCAGTTGTTTAGTTCAAGTGCATATTTCCTATGTCATCTAAAACTGAAAGAAGGTAACTAAACTTCGTGTTTTGAGTGTATTTAATATTTATATCTGTCAGTTTATTCCAATATCAACTGGACCGTATGTCGGAGACCCGTATGAAAAGGACACGTCGCCGACTAGAGTGGCAAGGCCAATATCATTATCACCATCATTATCATCGACGAATCACTCTAGATCTGCGTATTTATTTGAACGGTATCAAAATCAATCTCAATGTTATAGAAATCCAGGTATGTTATTAGAATGTTACTACGAGTACAACAAATGTACTTTTGTTCACTAATTACGTAGGGTTATCTTCAACATTATATTTCTATAATAATATAATATTTAACAAGATAACCTAAATATTCTTTATCTATATATTACATTTTAGCTTGTTATACAACGTCATGTTTGTCATTTGTTTTCAGAACAAAGCTTACTTCCAGAAATTGATGAATTGGGACCCAGTGAATCGTTCAAGGTCGGGCAGATCACCCTTGAACAGGTGTTCAACTACATTGAAGCAAATGATGATGACGATCTCAAGAATGTGTTCTCAAGATTAATAAATATGACACTGGTATGTACTAGAGTTAATATTATTAACAGTTCATAGACAGAAAGGGAATACCCTTCGTCCGCTAGAGGTATTTTCCAAGTTTGCAAATTAAGTTGACATGTGTGTGTGTTTAGCAAATTTTAATGTTCATTACAAAATCTTAGAAATATAAAGAAATAAAAAAAAACTATATTTCATAGCAAGAGTATCGGGTGAACCAAGATGTTGGTCAGACTTGTTAACCCATTCATGTAATTATATATTATTTAAACAAAATATTTGATTAACACATATTTACATTTTGCTTTTAAATCAGTGTATTGGTTAGGTAATTCATTTTGTGTAATTAGTATATACAACATAGTAAAATGATCTCACTTCGATCGTTGATTCCAGCTCAGTAACTTTATCACTATTATCATAGAGTGTAAATTAATAAAGCTATTATATAAATAATATGGTGTATAGCAATAGTTACTTCACATTTCAACTAACTGACTATGTATTTGTCACATAATGTTATTTCTCAGATTGCATTAAATAATGATACTTGTGTGCGACCAGAAGAGTTGGACAATGTTCAATTGAGGTTGGCATTAAATCAAAGGGGTGTTCTGTCTTACGGTAATCGAAACCGATTGATATCACAGTTCAAAATCTCAGATAAAGGTATATTCAATTCATAACTTTTATTCTTATGTTTAAAACGATACCATTAGTCAAGTTCTTTGCAAAATACCTCGCAACTACACCATCAAGATTGAACTAACTGACACATGGTTGTCTATTTAGGATGTACAGATATAGTCAAGGGAATATCGCCAAATACGTGGTGTCGATTTGATGATAGATGTCTTAGTGCCCAGTGCTGCACAGACGTTCAGTTTATGTCAAGTTATTATACATGCATCCAGGTCGATGTGAAGCTTGATACATGCAGACAATCAGTCACACTACAGGCAAATACTTGGACAATACATTTGAATCTTACAGCAAATGAAACAGGTAAACCTAATGTTGTGTAATCGACAAATATTACAAATTGGGTTGCCCATATGTTTTCCTGGAATGTATGTATACCCGTGTATGATATGACTGGTTTTAACACAAATAAATGAAGCAATATAAGCTAGCATGCTCCCCTCAACGTATTATCATATTCTTCGTTGTAATTTTTCCCCCTGAATCACGCCTATGTTGTATATGAAAATAGATATGGTTATGCAGATATTATAGAGCACACTGTTTTGTGTTGTTTTAAGAGCAGATAATACTCTCCTGCAATCGTTTAAGTCATTTATCTATAATTGGTCAAATTCAATTTTGAATTGAATGCATTACTTTTTTGTACTCTGATGGCTCTGTTGAATTTCACGTATGGCATGTTAATGTATTAAATGAACCACAGTGTTATGAAACGCTATGAATGTACTTGAGCAAGCTGTCAATGGTCTCGTGAAGTGCAATTCATGAACATATACCATCATTTATTATACAAATAATGAATGTGAATTACTGTTTAAAGTGTCACAGGCTATTTATTCCTCTTGTTCAGTTTTCTTGTTTCGATAATTACCATTTGGCCTCGCTGATTGATAAGCTTTGATTTCTCTGGTAAGTCGGCGTAAAAAATATGAAACTGTCATCACATAGTGAATTTTATTTTATTTCTTTTGTTTGCTTCTTGTGTATGCTTCAGCATATTTTTACCGAAAATTTTACATTTGTCATCGCAGCCTACGAAGACGCTGTCAGGAATATACCCGTTGAGCGTATTGCGAATGGAGAATACAGATTGTTATATAGAGTTATCAAAACTGGCACAAGAGTTGAGGTGATTATTTAGTTTAGTTTATTCTTGTGCTCATTGTAATGGTTGACTGGTTGACTACATTTATTAAAAATATTATTTTAATATTATAATAATATTTTTGTTACTATTATTACAGGTAACATTGCAATCTACAGTGTGCTCTGCAAATATTGATGAGTGTACAGAAAAAACGACTATTATTGATAAAGCGGTTTTCACGATGACTGATGAATGCTTTCATAATGCCACTCCTGCACCCCAATTAGAATATAGTTCGGAAGGTGTGTATTGATCTAAACTTCATGGGTCAGCAGCCAGGGTCGGGATTGGCGGTGTATTCAGAGTAAATTTTTGTAGTATTATCAAATAGTAGCAATTAGTAAACCTAGTAGATGGCGTAGGTGAAAAAGTAAATATCAAAATGTTGAGCTCGAACATGTAATCATGTAGCATCACCCACAAGCGGTGAATGATGACGAAATGCTAACATTTCTGGTTGGAAAATTTATGATATTCATATGCCGTGAAGATAATAATTCTACTTGAACATAAACCGTTTATTTACACTTTTATCATTTTGCTTAGTTCATTGTTGCATACATTTACTTTTATATTTTTTTATCTCAGATCTGAAAAAGCTTACACTTGTGGAATTCGAACGCATTCTGGATTTGTACAACAAACCAGACGATGAAATAACAGCGTTTATGTCGAGGCTTCGAGCTGATTACAGAAGCGCGGTACGTTTCCAGTAACAAAATAAATTGTTTTAATTGTTTAAATTGTTGGTTCTAATTTGGTCCTGAAACGAATCAATCACAAATCTAACATTATCTATCACGCACGTATAAATGCCTACATATCTCGGCACACAGATGTAACACACATTTTAGAAATTCTATATTTAATATCCCTCTATACGGAAATCGGAAACAATGTAATTGCATGTGATGAATATATAATTTTACGATATTCTCGGTTTTCGCAGTATATATTGGGAACGGAATGTTACCAAGCATGTGCTATATTTGTATTGAAATCACTACACCCTTCCAAGTTTTCGAAAACGCGTCCTGTTATACTGTGAATACATGCATGCTTGTGAATGTTTGTAATTTGCCGCTGCTTCTTTTGACTTTATTTCACGTATTTGTATACACAAGGAATGTTTATGAGTAATGCATTGTTCGGAGGGTTTATTGGTGGTGTCTATCTTTTGAAAGGAACATCGTACTCAAAACAACGGGAACGTGACGCACAAATCCGATCTTTGTGAGACTACGCCATATCACGGTCACCATTGATATTTTTTCGGATAAGCCTCACTGTACAGTCATCCTGTCGTTGTCTCAACCGAAGAGTGGCACACGGAACGTCAAACATTTATTTTGCTGGCGCTTGGTCACCTTAACTGCTCTGTGCTGGGTTGGGGGCGTTGAGATATTCTTAGGTGTTTGGGGTTCATCATGTAGATTATTACAAGACAAAATCGACATGTGTCGCTGCTTATTCATGGAATCAATGGAAAAGTGCATGATTCTTTGCACATTGCGATGTCCAGACAACTCCATGATCTTAGTTGATGATAAACCGCGATCGTATAGATGCTGAGTTGTTGTTTTTCTGACATTGTGACTTGTTTTCTCCGCCGGAAAATGCAGGTTTTTGGCAGATTCTTTTCATCAGCGTGTCAAGTTCATTGACTCTCGTGGGTTGTCGTTTGAAACACATTCTTCTGTGAGGATAATAATTGATAGCCAGATGAAAAAGGAAAGTATCGTGCATAACTTATTTGGCGCAGAGTCGCATGTTGCTCGTTAGAACGAACGAGCATCGATCATGGTTTCCCACAATGACAAACGCTTTAGATGTATATGGCCGTGCCTGCTGTCTACATTGAATTGGCTGTTGTACATAAGTGGGCATTATCAACCATTTCATAAACTGGTTAACTGCATTGTTATTGTTTTTGTTGTCGGTTTCTTTTTCTCGCTAACTTTAATTTGACCTCTTGACGACAATTTTTCGAGCTAAGACTACATGAACATATTAAAAAGAAAGTCTCATTTCTTTCATCACAGGAAAAAATATTTATTTTAAATAACTAAAAAAAACTATTCACATGTTTCATAATCATGTGATGATACACAATGTATGCATATATGGTAACATGTGATCAACGTTGTAATATTTGTAGTATGTGACGATAACGCAGTATGATTAATGAATACGAAGATTACATATAATGATAGTAACGGATCTAGTACATAGTCTTTATGTGTTATATTTTTTAGCTGATTGCAAACATCGATGTTTCTATATCTCCATTGCATCCAAATGAGTTCAGCCGTTCAACTACAGTGGTTGATTCTTCTAGTACGACACATGCTTATCATCGAAATTTCGATGTTCTTCATATAGAACTACCATCATTTAAAATTTGGATTTTTAAATTTCAATTTGGTAGGTAGTCGAATGTTCCTTATCCAGTGCAATTTCGTATCGTACATCGTTTCGTGTTGTATTATTACTTTTGAATTGCCTGATAGATTACTTGCGCTGCGTTTTTAAATCACGCTCCACTATTATAGCTGAATAATTTCACTATTAATGCAGGTTACAAGTTAACGCTACAGACAACAGCCAGCTCTGAACTCTCGCTAGAACTTGATTCATTCAAATTGAAGGTTTGTGCAACATATTTTTAGTATACATAGATGCAAATTTACTTAGACTGAATCATTTGTAAAAAGCGATGACGGAATCGTCAAATAATTTAGTATTCATGACCTGATACTCTCGTTTCAAATATCAATACTCAAATAGCCCGTAGAATTTCCTATACAAATTCCACGATATTTTGACAGAGTTTGAATCCACATTTGGTATTTTCATAGTGTCACATATAAAACACAATTGTAACCATTTAAGATCCCGGACGGCTATTTTAAAACATAACTCTAATTTGTAGCCTTCGCTTTATAAATATTTAAATGTTACATTTACATTTGGTAATTGATCCTGATTTGTTCAAATTAACAAGGAATCCACATCTTTATTTTACCATTAATTGTATAATAATTCAAAAATTTAGAATAAGTCATGGGATATAGATTGTACTTTTTTGTTTTGGCATGATATAACTTATTTGACTGTATCATGTTCGCCGAATCGTTGTCTGTCATATACTGTATCTGAAATCGTCGTAGTTTACAGGCGTTTTGTTATAAACTTCTATGACAATTGTCTATGTTTCAGGGTGGACTACAAGTTCGAATTACTGCGGAATCTGGTGGTTATGTCAAAATAGGTCCCAGCATTTTACATGGTGAACTGTCGGCTGGTGGAACATTTGGAACCGGATTCGACAACTGCAAAACTATTATCGATCGCTCTGACAAGGCATTTCAAAACAGGTGAGTTTTAATTCATTAGATTGCAAGGCAGTTATAATGTCTATTCAAACACACTAAATGCATCAGTATTTGTGTTTTATTGGGTAAGATTGTTATGTATGTGTTGTTTTCACTTGCACTTGCTTTTGCATATCCAAAAATTCATTCAAGTAGCACTGTTTTGCTATTATTACTTGACATGAGGTCATCCCCAATTATGTGTTGGGCATCATTTTCGGTACTTCAAGCTTCCTCCCCAGACATACTTCAGACAATACACAGCATTTGCTAATGGTGGTTATGCTGTTTGCAGCAAAAAACATATGATATCCACATGTGAGAATGTGGATCAGTGTTTATATTCAAAATGCCAATTCAATTGCATCAAAACCCGTCTAAAAACAGATGATTTTCTACGGTAATTATTGTAGCTCTAGGCGGCTAAAGTTTGTATTTCTACATACAAATGACATTACACGGGATCCATGAAATAATCAGGTCATGCTGCCCGGTGTTGGGGACCTGAATAAAAAATGATTCTGCCGTTAAATTCAAATTTATGTTTACATTCTCATTAATCTTGTTAATGTGTTTGCTTCTTTTGAACAAAATTGCCGGAAATAGCAAAACTTCAAACTCATGTTAATAATTTTTTTTAGAGAATTGTTGCTTATTTTGGTCACAAATATCGTTTGTTTTGATCATTGATATCCAAGATGAAACTTTGTTTCAATGAAAAGCAAATGAATATGAAAAGGGTAATTCAAATTGTTTTGAAGGCAAAAGCAAATGTCAGCTTGCTCTGCCTTGTTTAAATTTACAATGTCTTTAACAATTATCCACACGTGTATTGCAACAGTAAACGAAAAATAAACTTTCATTTCAATTGTGTTTCCTAAATTCCAGTATTGAGAATGTTTTAACTGAAAACACTGTAGCTTTTTGGTTGCAACTTCAAGTAATAAGCGACCCACCTATAGTGCGTTCATGGACATTGCTGAGCAAAAAAATTCCACTCTGGTCGTCAAATCGTAACAAGCATAGTGATGTAAGCTCTAGGATACAAGTAGAAACATTAGATGTCAGTGCTCCGTTGCAAAATAAACTAACAAATGTAAGTATAGTCATTACATTTATGAAAAATCTTTTGCAAAAATGCTTGAAATATATTCGGCTAACGGACATCGAAGTAATGTGAATAACTTACCCTTTCAATAATTGCACTGTGTTTTACAATTTTATTTTGCTATAGGGAAATTACAATCTCACATCACCAGCTAGCAATCCATGTCGAGTGTATCAAATTGCAGACAGGGACTATACACAACCGGCTTACGAGTTGACTATCTCAGCTTGGGATGACGAATCGGCAGTGTCAGTCACTTATTGCATCGGATCATACAACAGTGGGTGTGATGTTGCCAACAACTTACTTATGAGTCAAACATCAGTCATAGAGCCAAGAGTAAGCTTCCAATTTAGTTGATCGTATAATTAAATAATTTAAATATGAAACAATACTAAATTGGCATTGTCATTTCCTCTCAAGATTATGGTAGATGGGATGCCATTGTATTATACTGCTACATTGTCCAATCAAGGTGATTTGTCAATTACTGCAACATGTGACCTCCAAACATATGACCTTACAATTCCAAGTGGTAGAGTGACTCCAGATTTTCTATCGTCAAGCCATCCATCTATTCTACGAGCTTCCTCTGTAATAAATGAAGACTCTGAACTGACGTCTCAATGGGTAATTACAATTCCAAATACATTAGGGAGTTAAAATAGTCGATGTACTATTTCGAATGCCGCGCAATTTAAATTCAGCTGGGATTGTGGTGACTGTGCAGATGAGCATCTACAAGTCTAAAAAATGTACTCACTGAAGTTCACTGCATAATTGATGAGATCATGTGACACTAATAGTTACTCAATTGTATTCATTAGCTGGAATATTATATGCTGAAAGGTCTTGAACAACCCTCTGAAATTGTTAACATTTTAGTCATGATATTATGTCAAATGCGACTCTTGTACTATGCCGGTCTTCTAGTTGATATATTAAAGTCAACAGATATATTACTGTGCATACTATATATTATTATTTTTAGGAGGCGATTGGTTTTGGATTGGGTGTCTACGGATGTCAAGTTATTCAATGGGTAGAGTTGAATTCAAAGCTGTTGAAAAAAAATGTCAGTGGTGCCATTTCAACAGAACAAGACAGTCTTCAGTATTTCACTCATCCACAAGATGGCAGATTGAACGCAGAACCATTCGAGACGATTACTGTAAGATATGATTACTTATGTGGCGAAGAATGTCTGTCATATCCAGCTACAAAGTGTTTGAGTTTCAACTATGACTATGGTGACAATGAAATATGTGAACTTCTGCAGGATATCCAAGGAGAATATGACATCCATAAAGTAAGTTGGTGTAGGTGTTATTGTTCTAAGACATTACATTAGTAAATAAATACTAATCTCATTCACTGTCAATTGAATGTTATCACTATTTTTCATTTCTTCACATTTTGTTGGCTTTCAGAGTGGAGCATTCAAACATTTTGAGCGTATAGGTGTAGGATATACTGCTGAACATAGTTACTCTAACTTAACTTTAAATCACGGTAAACTGTACTATTTCAACCTCTATTCAGAAAACGTTTTAGGTATGTTATTTTATTTATATTTATCTATTTTGTGAAACCTATTGTTGACTCCCAATGTAAGCATTATTCGGCCACGCATTGCTGATACACACACGCACATACACGCATGGAATAACAACTATTTTTTCTTAACTTCACAACAAAGGCTACAAAGCAATCGTATCGTCAGATGGCGTCATTATTGACTTTATCCCGCCATTAACTGGGCTAATCGAAAATGAGGAGTATGACGCTGTTCATCATGAAACGTGTACAGACTATGTACATGGCAAATGGCAGGATAGATGTATTGAAGAAACACCATTACCCAATCACAGGTTAGTAAACATGAATAGCTAGATAACATTCTGATAAAATGCATGCGACAAATTTCTTCATTATCAACTTTCATGTCATCTCTCATGGCCATAATTTAGACTTATGGATGTAGAGTCATGGTCTAAAAAGTGCGGCCTTGTGACACAGACTCTTAAAATCCAATCATGTCTTGTGGCTCACATAGTTAAAGATGATAGCGTTTCTCCTTCATCTATATTGCAAAAAATATATCCATATATTCAAGCAGGCACCCATACATGCACACACACACATACCCTCATATTTCAGTGGCAGATACACATATTGACTAGGAATATACGTATTTGTAATATGTTTATACATTTATCATCAGATATATCGTTGATGGTCCTGGTTCTTTGACAGTATTTAATGGACACACCCCATTGGTCGACTTGATGTATACAAGAGTCAATACCTATGTGTCAGGTATTTATTATATGCTTCTAAATGTAACATTCTAGTCATTACAATAATACTCACTAGTTCCTTTTGGAATTTCACATGTTTCGGATATGTGAAGTTATATTGAACATAAACTGTTGTTTATCTTTTATCGAAAATACTGTCAGTTTATTTAAACATCACATGTTAAACCATGTGAAATTGCATTTAGAAAAACGATGGATTTGTATTTTTATATCTTACAATATTTATCCAAGTATATAATGTCACCACTTTCAGCTAATTGGGATGGATTTATGGATGACGAAACCGGAATCTATGGTTACACTTGGTCAGTGGGAGTCAGTAAATGTTTGGACAATATTCACCCACATACTGATCCACACGCACACATTTACGATGAAAGTGAATGGACACACCAGGGCATTGCGTCACCTTTATTTTTGGAAGGTATACTTCTACTGAATACTGAATAATCACATCACAAGCACTACATATGACTCGTTTCATATTATTCATATGTCGCATGAATGTTTGGAGATGGAAAGGAAACCTCCACATAACTCTTCCCTCTTGCCATTTTCCTTCAGATGGACACTATTTTATCACTGTGCGTGCAATTAATGGGGTTGAATTTGGTGGACCAATGGCGACTACAGTGTGTCACACAACTGAGTACACAATTGATTCTACGCCACCGTTTGTATATGATGTATATGAATGGGAATATGATGACGTCACTTGTGAATTGTTTGTCAATTACAATGTAAGGTAAGAAGAAAACTGACAGATGACATACATTGCTCGAATTGTCGGTAATTAATTATTCTTTTCATTGTTACTGATAAATATTATGGTAAAACATTTATACTTTATTCCCATTCATAACAGTGACCCCATGTCTCATATAAGGGAAGTTGATGTGGGGTATGGTTTAAGTATAAACGATGTGTATGTCATGGATTGGGTGCGACATTATACACTCACGAACCTCACTCAATATTTCTGTATTCCTGATGGAGTTCCTTCATGGGTAAAAATTCGAGCATGGAATAATGGTATGTAAAGTTTGAACTATCGGAAAATCTAACATATTGTAATTGTTTGCGTTATTACACACATTGGAGTAAAACAATACACAGCAAATATGTATTGGATTGCAGTTGACCTGAACGAAATAGGATATGCAGATCTTCCAGTTATTGTGGATACGACTCCTCCCACTGCTGGTGATTTGTTCGATGGATTAATTCATGGTATAGACATTGACTATCAGAACAGTGAAAGCTATATATGTGCAAATTGGCAAGACTTTTCCGATGCTGAAAGTGGAATAGGTATGCCCTTTGTATTTTCTTAAAAGTAACTTTCTCACTTTGCGATAATGCTATATATATTTTAAACAATGTATTACTTATCTTGTCTATCATTACAATAGACACGTTTGAATGGTTTGTTGGTACGACCCCATACGGTGATGACGTCGTTGAGGCAAAAACACTTCCACCTAATTCTTTTGACGCGTGTGACTACACTGTAATGCTTCTTCATAATACCATGTACTATTCAACTTTAATTGCATACAACGCTGGACACAAAGGATTATATACAACTGTCACATCTGACGGAGGTGAGATAAATACATGTTGTTGTGATAAATATGTGATTCAGATTTAAAAACAGTATTCCATATACAGTAATACATATATAGCTGGTATACCTCATTGATAGTGTTTTGATCAATAACGTTTACACAATAATTCAATGATTTATATTGATTTTGCATTAATTTGTTCTCAGTACTCATTGATGTCACACCGCCAACAAAAGGTTGGGTTAAAGATGGTTTAGACCCAGACAACGATATGTCATTTTCATCCGAAGTATCGTCAATATCGGCAAATTGGGACGAGTTCATAGATCCCGAGTCAGGAATACTGGAGTACGATATCAGTATATGGAGATCGGCATTTGGTAAAGGTGAGAAGAAGACAATGTCATCACAGATTGTTTCTCGTCAATTTTCAAGATTATTGCGGTGTCGTGTTATTATTAGGTCTTAAATCATTTTCATAACTGTGTTATGTATATAACTTAAATTGCGGAGATGATCGCGGTCACGTGCACGCGGATGGTTTTAAATATTGTGCAAATAAACAATGCATTTTAGCCTAATAGTGTGAATCTATATACTTAGTAAGTAACCTACACAAACATGACTCGGTCATAGAGCCCAATTTGATAACGCGACTAGAAAGGACAAATGTCCAGTGGTTTTATTTATGAATTTATTGTTTTGTCCTCTTATGAATGAGCTATTTATAATAATTTTATTTAATACAACTTAATCTCAAATTGCCGTATCCACGTTGTAAGAATAAATCATTTTTCTTCCAAGAATCTGAGATTCTGCAGGAACCAGTCACTCTCCCAGGGAATACCAATTTTTTCAATTGGCACCACTTCAACTTAAATCACGGTGATCGCATCGTTGTCAATGTGAATGCTGTCAACTATGCTCGAATATCAACGAGTGCAAAATCTGATGGGTTTAATGTTGACCTGACTGCACCTAAAATGCATTTCCTTGGTGATGGACTGCAAATGGGGGAGGACAAAGAGTTTTCGGTAATGTAACGTTTAAGCGATTTCTTAAGCAAAAAATAAGCATATTTTGTAGCATGATTTCATATTGTACACGTACTATCACATAACTCATTTTTGTTGTAGTCAAGTAATATAAACGTGGCTGCTAATTGGGATTTCGAAGATGTTGAATCGGGCATTGATCATTTTGAAATTACGGTTTATGAGAAGTATGGAGGAACAAAACAGAGAATATATCCACTGGGCAGGTACTGCATATACACATTTTTTTTATTGATAAATATAATAATCATAGAATACATCCATTGCACATGCGCGATGTTATTGTAATATTCAAGTCATGTGCATTAAGCGGGTGTCATCCGCATTCAAGCGTGGTTCTGACATCCACGTTTTATATAAGTATGAGTCTATCAGTGAATGAGAGTGATGATTTCATAGGTCAAAGCACCCTTAATATGATGCATTTGACCAATGACTAGTAGGTGGCAGTTATTAGTTATTAGATAAACTATCTGTTCTTATTTATTGTACGGCGTATGTGTGGTCTGACAATTAGTGGTTGTCTCCCAACGACTTGTTTGTAAAGGACAGAAATCGATTCAGATTCGACAAGTAAATATGAGCAGAATGCAACATTTTGTTAGGTTTAGTGAATTACTGAAACTATAATTGAATGCCTTTCAAAGGAACAGCCTGAACAATATTGTATCAATAAGGATCTGTCGTTATACGTTGGCGTATGTTTATCAAATCCGAATGAGACGTGTGTGACTTACATTTGAAGTAATCACTGTCAACCATGTTGATAAAAATCTTGTCTGACTTTCTTGGAATCATTGTGTGTTAATACCTTATGGATTAAGAATTTAAATCTGTGAACAATGCACTTGTACAGCATTAGCATCTTCGTGACATTAATTTCATATGAGAACAAAATACAATATATTGTGCATATATTATAATATGTAAACATTTAAATAATTATCCTCTAGAGGTTCCAGGACAGTTGTCAGAAATAGTATTCTTATTGTGTTTCTAAAGTAATTCCACATATTCCAGTAATAACATATATACATGCATTCTCTCCAGTTAATTGCTAGACACTGTATTTTACTTTCCCAGTGATGGAACAGAAATAGTGGGTCCACAAGAAACATCTTGGATATCTCCGGAATTATCTCTTAAAACTGGCGCTATATATAACATACGCATACTTGCTATCAATACAGCTGGATTCACGAATGTACAAGACACTGATGGTATGACAGTGGATCCTACTCCTCCAGAGGTATTATTTCCCGATATGCATGGACACTTATTGTATGGTGCTTATTATGTGTATCAAGCCGAAAAATTAGAGAAATATTCGAGCATACTTCATCAAAGAACGCAATGACTATGTGTTCGTCTCTGAAGTATATTCAAAAAGTCAATAGTTCATAAAATGATGTCTTCATGAATGTGTTTTAGACAATGATTTATTGTCACCTTCGGCAACGATGTTATGTTTTCCCGGTGGTATTATGTTTTTTGTGTTTCTGCAACAGATTTGAGTGATTTTTTTTGACATTTTTATGATTAATTGCTCTTAAAACGAATTGAATTTTGAGTGATTATTCTTCATTGACGAAAGTTATCAGGAGGGATGTAGCTCTTAAACAGGGATCAAGCGATTATATGACAGGAGAGGATCCAGTTACCACAGAGATAGTTTTGTGAATGATTCTGCACCATTGCCAGATAGGGTCGTTTACTGATTAACTTAGTGAATAAACTATTCAAGACTAAATTCTTTCTTTTATCATGAGAAGTCGGACATATTAATATGTCCTTGTCCTCTATAGTTGTATATAAAGTGATTACAGCACAGATTCTGATTTTTGTTTTTTTCAAATAAGTCCAACAACGGAATTGGTTAACACTGAGACACTGAGTTCAATTCACATTTGTCCATCCATTACACACAATGTTATCACTGTACTCTCACAATGAAGTATAGCTAGACTGATTTTACACTATCGTAAATTAATTATATATAGATGAAATCACTTGCAATTGGGGACATGGCTGATTCGTCTGAGGAAGTTATCGATGGCTATGTCCTACAGACTGACGAGTTTGGAATCACTGCTTACTGGTTTGGTATTGACTATGAAAGTGGAGTTTATACATATATAGTTGGTGTTGGCACAGAACCAGGTAAGTGGGATGCAGTTCGGTTAATTAAATAACATAATATATTTTTTATACAAAATTATCTCATTTTTTTCAAAATGTTGAATAATTATCCACAGGCTCAGTCGATGTAAGTGGCATTCGTGACATGGGTCCTTCCGCCGGGGGATATATCGACAATCTGCAATTGTTTCAGTATGACGAAGACATTAACTATCCCGTTTACTATGTAACCGTAAAAGCCAGAAATGGAGCTGGGAGTTTGTCTGATTCACGCATTTCAAGGTAAGCCGAAATAATATCATAATCAATTGAAATCGGCACATAGTTTGTACGGCAATTGTACAAAGGTTAAATTTCAATTTCAATTTCAGTCCAATTAAGGTAGTACCTGGAGATTCTGTAGGAGTGGTTCTTGATGGTGCACAGCCATTACAGCGTTCTAATGATAACAATCTGGAAGGTGATGTTAATTATCAGTCAGACGCAACTGTTGTAACTGCCGAATTCGCTGGGTTTGAGAGTCATCTACATGGGATTGTTGACTATGAATGGGCGATTGGTAGTTTTGCACGAGGTGAAGATATACAACCATTCATGCGTGCAGGGGTTGTAGTGAACGATGAAGTAGACTACCCCGGAGATGGTGAGTTGTTGTTTATTAGCAAATAACTCTCATTGTTTTTCATATCATTTCTCTATTACCTTTTCCAAATGGTACTTACGTACACAGATAATGTATGTCTGAGTAAAATCATAGGGATGTGAACTATTTATTATATATTATATTGTTGTAGGCATTGCTGGTTCAGGAAAAGCCCAATCACTCCTAGATCTGAATCATGGTATGAAGTATTATGTGACAGTACGAGCTATCACTGGAGTTGGAAATGTCCTGGAGGCAGTGTCCAATGGATTTACAGTTGATGCTACTGCGCCAGAGGTTAACATTGAAAGTGTTGGTACAACAACGTCTACTCAAGATAATACTGTATCAAGCACGTTCTATCAGGTTAGCAGATGCACTGAACACTAAATTAACGTTTGTCGAAATCTGTGTGATAGATGTGTATTAATACACGTTTTTACGTTACAGCAATCGTCAGATTCCTTAATTGCTGAATGGACTACAGTTGACATGGAAAGCGACATATCATATACAGAATTCTGCTTTGGAAGTTACCCTGGCGCTGATGACATATATAGCTGTACTGAATCAACAGACAAATCAACTATACCAAATGCGCTGGTGACACCAGCTAGCGATGGTGTATCGAATGTACTCGTAGTTCGAAGTATTAATAAAGTAATTTTGTAGTTATTTATTCATACTTTAACATAAAAATATGCTCTGCGCATTTACTTTTTAAGATTCCTAGCTAACTATCAAAGCTGTGAAAAAATTTACTGGTTGATTCATTAATATTTTTTTTTCTTCAGGCTGGACTCAATAATGAAGCTGTATCAGGTTCTCTAATTGTTGACAAAACACCCCCAAATGGTGGTGTAGTAACCTGTCCTAATTATGTTGGACTAGTAGATACAATACTTTGTTCATGGTTTGGATTCAATGATCCAGAAAGTGGCATAGTTGCATATAAATTTGGTATTGGAGTAGAAGAAGATGATGATTCTGTATTCTCATTTGTGGATTTGGAACCAGAAACCGACCGAATTGTTGCTCAAGGTAAACATAGTTGTATAACAAAACATAGATTATTTTAAATTGACATAACATTGTAATTATAATTGAATTTTTTTAAACATTATGTTATAGATTTCAAAGTTGAAAATTTTAATCACTCTCAAAAATACTACGCGACTGTCGTGGCTATGAATGGCGCCAGCTTTGAGGTGAAGTCGTATTCCCAACCAATCATAGCCGATGGAACCCCACCTATTCCGGGACAAGTTATAGAGTTGACAGGAGTGGATTATATCAATAGGTCGGCGACGGACTTTCAAACAAACACATGCATCGACAACACAGGTACTGCTTATCTTGTTATATGGTATTGCATTGCAGTTTGGAAAAGGCGTTTCTGACCGTGTTGTAGTGATCATACCTGATATTAAACGATGGTTGCTGGTACTACACTCTCGCGTTGTATGTTATTATTCTAGCTGGTTATTCATCATCGATTTTATGATTTATATTTTTCCTCTTCTACAGAGTGTGAGCAAATGGATGCAGTCTGTCAAAAGTCAATGAGTACAGTGTATGTCATGTGGCAGCAATTTAAAGACAGCGAATCGGAAATTCAAAAGTAAGTTCACTCAGTATTTTACATATTTTTTTCGATTTTCCAAGTACGCATTTAAATAACTCATTAATTATTTACAGATATGAAGTTGCTTTAGGGACGTCTTTTGGTGGCACACAACTACAGGACTTTAAAACAGTTGATGAATCCATTCGAATGTTAACAATCACAGATCTTGATCTCGCATATATCGAACAAGTTTTTGTTATGGTACGAGGCTACAATTTAGTAGGACTCTCCGTAACAGCGTCATCGAATGGTGTCTTTATAAGTAGAGTGAGTGCAGGTTTGCCCCCTATAGGCAACGTACTTGTGTGGGATGGAAACACAGATAGCGATATGTAAGTTAACGTTATTTGTTTATAATCTATTGTGATGATAGACTTATTCACCCATATGTATAACTCGATATATATATAAATAGTGTATTATTTAAGTTGCAATCCACCAATTTAGTAAATACATGTGTTACAAATAAATAACTAAATAACTAAATAAAAAATAAATAACTGTTCTAAACGTTTGCAAATAAATAGTCTACCATATTTTTTAGGGATTACCAAAATGACAATACTCAAATATATGGTAAATGGAATTTCAGTGGTGACCCTTGTCCAATCATAAAATATGAATGGACAATTGTGAGGTTTGATGAAACTGTGATTCAGCCGTTTACCCTCGTGCCTGATGGTCAGTATAATTCACAGTTTTACAATTGACCAGGTTTCATTTGTTCAAAAATATTAACAGTATAATAATAATATATCAAGTGCACATCCTCCATGCAACATGTACCTTTATTTCGATGGAATCATGTTGAATTGTAACAATGTTCAATGGCTTGGAATTGAAAAAAATAAAGTACTTGTATATATTTGAAATGCTTTGATATGTACTACCGATATCATGGGTACATGTTTGTATGGTCACGTGACTCGTGTGATGATATCGGACTTTCCGAAAAATAATAAAATCTAATGTGCTTACAAATCATTTTCTTACACTTGATCAGACATGTCGACTGCAGCATCAATGTATCAATTACATTAAATGATGAGATGCTTAATGCAATTATTAACGTGATTTGATTGCCGTCATGAATTGAATAAAAAAAAACTGACAGACTCTCATTTTTGAGATGTCACATATTTGGTATACCACCTGTTTAGAATGCACTGAGAAAAAAGATAATCACACAGTTTGTAGAACACCTTGGATTTTCCAAAATCAACATTGGCTACCTGGGTACTACAATGCTGTTTGGAGCTTGATTTTTTATTTTAATTTTTTGTCGTATTGTTATGTGATTGTTGAAATTTGTCGCTTTTCTGTACTTTGGCACTTGTAAATAACTGAATTTAGATATCGTTTTGTTATATTGTTGTTGCTACTTCATGGTAATAGATGTAGAAAAGCTTAGTTCTGGAGGTTTGGCTCCCGTTGATTTTTTTGTTTGGGGGGGGGGCATTTCGACTGATTGACTTTATTTAATTATGACATTATGACATGCACTACTTTTGTAGCCAACACAGAAGCCATGAACGACAATTTGGATCTTCGCGATGGAGAATCATATTACATAATAGTGAAAGCAACAAATGCCATTGGTTATACATATTCTGTTCGATCTAATGGAATAACAATAGCTGTCGGAGCACTATTGCCTGGTATCGTGAGAGATGGTAATATTATCGGTACTGATCTGAATTACCAAGCCTCGATAATAACCTTGTCGGGAAACTGGGATGGTTTTAGTATGAATCAACAGAACAACAATGGTTAGTCAACTTTGTTAAGTTTTATCAAACACGTGACATTAAAACTTTATACCCCAAAATTAACTGCATTGAATGTTTACATCTGTGCTTTTTGTGTAGTTGGTGATGGAATTGCATTTTATGAGGTTGCTGCCGGTAGTGACAGGCGTTATTCACTAACACGAAGTGATGTCCACCCATTCGTTTCTGTTGGTCAAAACACCTCTCACACGTTTCACGGTCTTCAACTGAAACCTCGAACCATGACATATTATATAACCGTTAAAGCACATGGTGTTTCCACTGCTGTAACTGAGGTCACGTCAAATGGCATAAGTGTTGGTTATGGTGATGACCCTGTTAGTACAGGCACAGTAAACGTTGCAAGGTACGTATACACATGTGTGTGGAATGTAATTGACATACACATTAACTACTTGTGTCAAAGATATTGGTTGATATTCATAAATGACTTGTGTCTCATAATACAATGTGTGTTTACTATGCAGGTACTCTAAATCGACAGGAAACCTTACAGCATCATGGTCTGGTTTTTTGTTTACAATGCCGATACTTTTCTACCAGTGGGGGATAATGTCGTACACCGGGCCATTTGATGATGCGAAATGTTATGGTCTGGTGAGTAACTGTAGATGCGTTTTAAAACCAGATTGTAATTCGGACTATTGTTGTAACATTTTATCTTGTTGATTGTAGCAAAACGGCAATGAAGTAGTTCAACAGATGTTTGACAAATATCCCCTGACAAATGTTGGTAAAGACACGATGGTCGTCACCAACAATCTCGTACTGGAAGATAAACACACTTACCTTGTCGTGGTTGTGGCTACTGACCAGGCTGCATCGTGTTCCGTCTCCTGGGCGAAAACTACCATTGATTTGAGTCCACCTACAGAAGGGAGATTACTCATTGGTGAATATTATAATGAGGTATTTATACCCGCATTTATATATTTAAATATGTCACATTTATACTTTTTATGCGATTTTTAAATTGATTAGCCAGTTCAATACGTGTCTCAGTAACTATGCAATATGTACAGTATCACTGTTGAGAATGTTGAATTTTAATTAGCGTTCTAAATGACTATTATAATTATATCACAGAGAGCTGCATATATAGATAGAGATGATGAGATTGCTGTATCTTGGGATGGGTATTTTGACGAAGAAAGCGGCATCAGTCAATATGCACTTCAACTATACGATGGACAACATTGTGGGGCGCATGATTCGCTACGCTTGTTGTTGCATTCATCAAATTCTGTGCCAGCCAACGAAAGTAGTTACACATTTACTGGTCTCAGACTCGAGGTACTCTTTTGGTATAACTCTATGCAGAATGACTTGTAAATTGCACTAAAAATGTCATGTGCACAGTACTTGCTCTAGTATTATCTAAATACACAATAATACATACTGTAGAATTGTTTCTTTGTTTCAGGTCAATCATCCTTACTTCATTAAACTAATGGTGACTAACAACGCTGATTTATCTATCACAACAATATCTATGCCAATATTAATCGATCTATTCGACCCAGTACCTGGAGCTGTAAAGGATGGAAATACATTCAGCTCTGACATTATGTACCAATTTGAAACATCTAAAATGATAGGTAAAGAAACTAACATTATGTAACTCAGTAATATATCACATTATATATAATAATAATTGAAATGAACTTAATCACTATAACTACTTATTTAATATAATTGTTACAGGGACTTTCCTTCACTTGCCCAATTCTCTGATCCATGCTTGTCCTGGAAGATTTTACTCATTTGAAGATCATAACACTGATTGGTATCATATTCAGTCAGAAGGAATCTGGGGACTCAGTATCGAACATCGAATAATGTTCACAGAACGTCAGGTGTGTGTAATCTCGTTTAAACGGCATTGTAGTATTTTAGGTAAACAAGTAATCGATTGATACATTGATAAATGAAACTAATTATACCGTTTCTGCACAGGTCTCGGTTTCTGATTCTGGTGGATTGGTACTGATAATGGAGCGAGATGTCCAGGCAGAACAAATGTACTCAGCTGCATATTATCACAAAGAACCAGGGATAAAAGCTGGTGGTACTTATGAGGTAGTGTGTGTAAATTGTGATATCACATTATAATCAAAAGTAAATGTGACACTCACTCGGTGAATGTAAGTTTTCAAATAGTTTGAAAATTATTTTAAAACTGCTGTGTGAACTATGTTCTTATCAAATAGTTTGAAATCCTAGCTGCATCTGAACAATTGCGATCAATTACGTCCGTGGTGTTTTGGGATGGACCAGAAGGTGTTGTTGGCGATTTTGACACATGGATTTTCGACTATGAATTTAATGAGTGCCCATGCTGTGATGGTAAGATTATTGTGGCCAAATGTAATATATCTAGCATTGTTGAAAAGTTATCATAGAAGATCTTGGTTATACAGTGCGAGAGAGGGGGAAATGAAGGGGGGAGTGAATAAACATTCATATACTTTTGCAGACTTGAATGAAAATGCCAGCTGCCCTGAGAAATGCAAGTGTCTGGAAATGACGACTACAAGTACTACTAATTCTTATGAGACAAAATCTTGGTACCTTGTGGAAGATGAACCAGAAGGTGCAACTGGACCACAGAATACAAGTTTAAAATCAACACCACAGCCTTCAATAGGATTTCAGATTCATCCAGGTAAATTGGACATATTATTAAAAGATAATAAGTGTAAATGGCTATTCGTCTACGTATTGGTAATGTTGATGACATAATCACAGCGGTGGCTACAGTAATCTATGATTGTCTTGTCATAGGTGTGATGGTTGGTGATCAACGAAAACATTATATTGTTTTATGGGGTCGATTTCTAAATGACACATTGTCTCCACAACAAACTATAGAAGAGTTGGCATTTGATCCAGCAGACGGTCTTCACAACTACAGTCTTACTGTTAAACCTAACCAGGTACAATTTTCAACCTCGTAACTTGTGGTTATTACATCCTTATTTGGAATAAAAAGTGTTTGTAGTTGAAGCACACCACACATGAATAATATATTTTTATTGAATAATGATAGGACAAGTCTGAGTTACAATTATCTGTTGATGGTGAGACATTGATTACAATGTATGGATGTCCGCTGCTCAGTGAAAACACTACTATGTCCATTTCAGTGTGGAATAGAGGTGATTACGTACCGCCATTGGATGACGTATTTAATCCGCCATCTTCTACCACGTTTGTCAAAAATGTTCGGTGAGTTATGCATTTAAAAATTGTAAAATCGACAAAAACATATATTGTGTAATCATTGCCCTCTTAAATTTTAAGTACTCTTCATACAGATTACCACCTGATGAGAGTGAGTTGTGTCGATACGGGGATCCCTTCCGGAACGGAGGCGCACCGATAGTTGCATTTCATGCAGGTGTTGGATCTAATAAAAAAGATGTGGCCGGATTTATGGAGGTTTGTATTCCGTGGATATAATATTTGGAAGACACAGATTTGCATTATGTTCAACATATTAACAAAGAGTGGTAATCCTAATAGTGAGAATACCGCAATTGTGTTACACTTTTAATGAATATCATCTGTTGTATTTACAGGTTGTCCAGCCTTGTATACCATGTGTGGATCCATGTAGTATGTATATTTGTGATGATGAATGCTCAGATACAGATACATATGAGTACAATATTTTGTTGAATAATCTGTCCCTTCAAGAATACGATATAGACGAGAATGTGACAATTCCAGCTGTATATCATATGCATATACAGTCAGTCGCTGGTAAGTCAAGATACATTGATGGAACAGGTTGTGGCTATGCAATCTGAGTCATAGTAAATTCCCGGTTCAACATTGTGATTTGACACTTAATTCGCTTAAGTTCTTAAGTTCATTTTCCGCTTAGTAGGCCAAATTTCATTAGGTTTCAAATCACATATTCAAAATTGCTTGAGAATAGGCCAACGATTTTCATTATGATTCGTTAGTTAATTTTCTTGATTAGCTATTTTCATGCAACGTATCTAGATTTGTAGTATGCATATACAATTCACATCTTTGATATTGCGTAATGATTTGTTACAGCATCTGGGAGAACTGCTACGTCATCTTCAGATGGAATTATGCTCGATATCACTCCACCTAAGTTTACCAGATTGTATCATGTTGATGTGGCATGGGGTGAACACGTAATATCCGATTACCAAAGCAGCAATGATACCATAGCTGTTGCATGGGAAATAAATGAAGGAACGTCGGTGAGTTACATAATAAACAAATGTTTATATTCTATTACTGTGTAAGCATTCAGGTTTAGCTTATCCACATTCAAATTATATTAGTTTAATGTTATTTATATTATCAAGTATTATGTCACCATAACGTCATTAGTTACAGCGTGTCGTAAGTTGTGGTATTGTACTGGGTATTTTCATCCTAGCATATTAGGAAATGCGAATTCCAAATATAGAAAGATTACGCGCGTAAGTATCCTCTAATAATAAAAACAAACATGACAATCTCCAGAGTTTACCCGGACCCCACACAACAAAGTTCGCTAAATCTGTTCTCACGTTTTTGGATTTCGGCATTCTCATTATGTATTCTTGACAGAAAAAGAATAATAATAATAAGGTTGTTACGAGGATACCGCAAAGTATGCTGCGCTGCGCGTCGGTCAATACTCACTCATTTGTTCTCTTGCTTCACAGATAGTTGACTGTCAATGGGCTATTGGCTCCACTCCGGGGTCTAATGACATTCAGGATTTCGTGTCAGTCGGTGATGTAAAGCAGGCTAAGAACAGTAAACTGTATGGGATTCTACAAAATCGGCATAAATATTACGTCACTGTCACAGCGACTGATGAAGTTGGATTAACGACTACAGCTTATACATCGGGTTAGGTTCTCTGTAAAGAAAATGCATTCGCTTTAATTTATAAGAGTAGAACTCAACTAAGCCAACGTAAATAAGTCTAGACTTTTAAAGTAACCAACAAGTAACATTACACTAACATGTGTAATGTTTATTTTTTTCACACAGGAGTTGAAACAATTTTCACGCCACCAAATGTATCGTCAATGGATTCATCAGTTATGGTCGAGTCAGGTGAAATCCAACAAATCTCGGATACATCATATCTTGCCACAGATCAAATGTCAACAGGAATAGTATGGCAGCGTGTAGAAGATAACTCAGCAGGAAGCTATTGTAAGTTATTCCCTATACAAATCAATACGTTATTGTTTATGTCAAACATGATTTATACATGTGTATCTACTCGTTTATTCTTTTTACAGACTTCAAAATCGGAACAGAAGAGGGAAAAGAAGACATATTTCCAAGTATGCAAGTTGCATACAACTCCTCTGGTGCTGCATATATTATCGATGGACAATTATATTTAAATGACAATGTGTATGGAAATCTCTCTCAATTCAAACATTTCAATAAGGAATGCTTAGAAATAGTTTGTGATGATATTGATTATACCTCGAACACGCTGTACATGGAGCCCGGCAGGTAAGAGAGTGTCATATCTAAATTGCAATTGTAGGGATGATATATGGTATAAATGGCTAATGTAAATTTATACGAACATAATCATGTCTTTAGTTTTAAACTCCACTTTCTACATGTTGTAGTTTCAATCACTGATTTAAATTAAATACTTGTACTTGTATGCAGAACATTGTTCACGGAGCTCATAGTATGTAACGTCGGTCATCTATGTGCAATCGGATCGTCATTACAGACAACAGTAATCAGTGAGTAGTGTACATTTATACTTTCGTTGCTATGTCTTGCAAATATATTGAACAGTCCAAATCCAAATACAATAATGCCATTTTATTTTTATACCATAAAGGGCACAATGATACAGTTGTAAAGTCGATGAATGGCAGTGAAGTAGTGGTCAGACTCGATGATATGGACGATGGCAGTTATACAGTTGTACACATAAAAACAAATGGTAATCCTAGTAACGTTATGAATTGTAACCGTATTGCTGACATTTTGAAAACCTGCTTTCTTTAATATGTCTTTGGTATTTTGTCATTTCTGTGTAATTGTTGACATTTTGAAAACCTGTTATCTTTAATATGCCTTTGGTATTTTGTTTTTTCTGTGTAATCGTTGACACCATGTACTAAAATAAGTGAAACAAAACAAATGCTTATATGTTGAGCATTTTGTGTAATTCCCTCAAATTAGTGTAGATCATTTTTTGGAGCAAACATTTCTTATAACAATTCGAAGCGACTTGTAATTCTTCGTCAGAAACGTGTTTCACAGCATAATTCACTGATTCCATCAATGCATTCAATGGACACAGGTCTTCGAAAATATGCAAGTTGGAAATCTTTTGTAGTTACTGATAATGGTAAGGATGCCAGGGAATAGTTTCAGTACAGGTTTGATGAATGCGACCGCCCATTTATTTAAATTAAACCGTTTGCTGATTGGATGACATTTAACAAACTCATTAATAATAATTTATATCCTATATAATGCAATAACATCAATGCTTGATTGGAATTGCAACTGCCATTTTTATCAAATTTTACATTTATAACACGTTCATAACCTCTACAGCTTTTCGTCGCCCACTGATTTTACCATAAAATATATTTAAAATGGACCCCTGGGTGGCGAGTTTGTTAAACGATATATATCATATGGCATGACTTCATATTATCCATGTCCCGTGTTTCCAAATGAATATCGAGTTTTATATAATTCCTTTCTCGAATTGCCAGGAATATCTGAGAATACGTACGTCAGTGCTGGAATATTAAGCAATGGTGATCTACGTCAACCCTACATATCAGATGCGTCGTTTACTTTCTCACCATTTATTGTTGACCCTGAAGTCACAAGAAATCAGACAAGCCGTTTTCTGAGACATAGGTAGAATATAATATCAATATAAATGCATAAAATGTAATTAAGTTTATCAATATTTTCACTCCAGGATTTGCTTTCAATTAATTGATTGATTGATATATTATTTATTTCATTAAGAATTATGATGTTTCAACGCCCAGCCTTCTACATGACAACAGTTGCACGGAATGCTCTTCTGGGTCCCGTAGATATAACTATACAAAGCGAGATGGGTGTGTCTATATCGCAAGCACCGTTGGAACACGAACTCCGGCTACTCTATTGGGATCCTGGTAACATTGCCTGTTATGTAGTTATTATGTGACATAATTAATTATTAGACAACTGGGATTGGTCGGCCAAATAATTAAATAATAATTCATTGTTATCAGATAAAAGATCGCTTGGATTGATGTAATCATATTAGTTTTGTTGAGTTCAAGGATGCCTGAATATATAATGACCAGCACTGTACATATGTTTTCTGATAGATTTGAGAGAATGGCATGATGCAAGTCACACGTGCTCTGACAGTTTCAATGAATACATATACAACACAGTAAATAAATCCATATCATTGAAGGTACGTAACCTTTAATTTCTGTAGTTGCTGTCAGAAGTGTTGCTGCTGGTAGTGTCGTCTTTGTTGTTGCTCGTTTTGTTTAATTTCCATCACGCATCTTTCTTTTGATATTCAGGTTTGCGGGACATATACCAATGATGAACAACAACCATTCCAAAATTTCACAGGTCCAACTCACTTCATGCTTGCTCAAGTGAAAAAAGATTTTGGCAACAGTGCGCCCATCGTGACGTCGCGTTTGACTGTGATGATACCAGAAGATGGAGGTACTATGATGTATCCAATTACGGCTGTAGATCCTGATAACGACGATATAGTGTTTCAGCTGACAGAAAATAATTCGACAACATATGGTAAATGCAACATGACGTCACAGGGACTTCTAATGTACAGGCCTTGCTTAGATTGCTTTGGTACAGACAGTGTGGAATTTACAGTTATTGAACACCGTGATGACATGATTGATCCATTACATACGACAGACGTTTTGGAAATTCACGTGATCGAACAAAATGACAACCCAGACTTATTCGTTGCCGTAGAGGGCAGCAATATCTTAAACACGTATGAGTATGACATATCTGTGACTGTAGAGGAACGTAATCCCAATAACACTGCTTATGAAGATTTTATAGCACAGGTTGGTGCTTATGATCCCGACACTAACGATTACCTAACTTTGACATTCGACTATCCTACACATGGACTGCTGGTTATTGATGACGAAATACACGAGTTTAGCTTTGTTCCGCAAAACTGTTCCATGTTTCTCATCGAAGAGGTTACACACATACCAAAAACATTTCAAAACAAAGGCACTGTTATCCCATACCCATGTGACCTGATGTTGCCTCATGAGATTGATCGTTATGCTTGGGTTGTAACTCGGATTAGATATATACCAAAAGAGCATTACTATGGCCAGGATCAATTCCAGATTAATTCAGCGGATAGTGACGGTGCTGTGTCCAGAGTAGCAAAAATTATCGTACATGTTCTAGAAAACCGTTGTGTGAATGGCGGTATTTGCAAAGGACCCGCAGAAGATCCAGACTGTTCAAGTCCGCGGCGTAGTGAAGGATTTGATGACTATACTTGCTACTGCCCTCCTGGTTACACGGGTGATTATTGCGGTGTTGAAATAAACGAATGTCTATCTAACCCATGTGCTGACAACTTCACTTGTTATGACAAGGTAGGTGTGCAACACTCTAAAACTAATATAATCCTACATTGACCCAAATTTAATGTAATCCTTGATGAATTAACTTTCTAGGTATATGGATACATCTGTCAGTGTGACAACATGAATTGGCCATGTGCCCCCCAAATGGAAAGTAGAAAACTTTATCTGATGGCTGTGTTACTAAGCATACTGTTATTACTTCTGGTATTGCTGAGTATATACATTTATGGCAGGAAGAAAAACATGAAAGTTGGGTGAGGTTGTTTTACAATTATGTTGTGATTCGTATGCCATTACAGTGAAAGGCAAAAAGCTTAGAATGTTATATGCGTTTTATAAATACATATATTTTAATAAGAACTGATAGAATTCAAAGTGAGCATTTCAGAAACGACATGGTGATATCATTGTGCGTTCTAATTACTATTAATGAGCTGGGTAATTCAACATCTTCATATCAGTAAACCATTAAATAAGTGGACGGTCGCAGGCTTGTGTGCGCATTTTGAACGTAGACAATGTGGAGCTCTCGAGCCAATCATTATTAAATATTTGAATTTGGAAGAAAGCTGATGATGTGTATTTACAAATTGTTATAAATATGCTTGCAGACAAAATCAGACAGCTTTCTGCCTTTCACTGCAATACATTGTATATAGTTCCTATTATACACAGCCCAATGGAAGACAATCTACACAATATAGCAATGGCTGAACGCCAGAAAAGCGGATCGAAGAAAACAAACAAAGTTTACCCTTTGCCTATGGAATCACATTTGGAACATCACGGAAAAGATGAGACAGAAGTTGACACGACTAATGACGAAAAGAACATAATCGTTATTGAGAAGGGTGTAAACAAATCCGAAGAGGTAAGGACCTTATATATAACTTACATTGATTTTACCGAAATGGCAGAAAACCAACAAAAATACACTTTGAAAGTTATCTTTTATGTAATCTTAGATCAATAAGCAGATACACAGTGACGTGGAACTCAAAGACGATTTAAACAATGACAGTAATGAAGAGGTTAGTGTCGAGGGGGTCATGGATGAAAACAAAGAGCCCATTCTGGATGACAGTACGAACAAATTGGAGCAGGTTAGAATTGTGTTTATGAATAATATTGCTGCAGAAACTCCATGATTGTCATATTTATAGTGTAAAGAAAACACATTAATTCAATCTGACATATGTGCATGTTCTGTTTCTGCGTTTAGTGGGAATAACATGATGATGTAAGGTTCAAGGTCCGAGAAAATAAAAATATATACTTGTGTACAGGTTGTCTGCGTGTTTGGCGTCGATAAAGTGTTTGCAGAATTGTCAGTGTTTATTGTGTAACTCTTGGTTGTTTTAAAACTCTAAATATAGCTTGCTTCATTTTGTCTTAGGATAAGGAAGATAGTAAACATGGCACAATAACAGACAGGAATAATCGTATTGCACAACGTTTTGGATTCTTCGACGGTCCTCGTTCAGCGGTAAGTTGATTTGCACAGGCTGTGGTATTCAACATGAGTACAGTACAGTTTTTTTGCGTTTTCCAAAGTGTCACTCAGGAACTTCTCAACAGTGTTCATTTCAAATGTTAAGTCATGGATTGTAATCTGCATATGCGGTGGCCTAACACTCCGACACCGTGAAGTGGTTGAGATTGTTCAGGACCGCAATCTGATTTAGAACTGACGTTGATGTGGTAAAGCATTGTTTCGCGCAAGCAAACTCATTGTGTGAAAGTACAATGCAACAAATATAAACCACTGAATATGACGCTCTCTGTGACAGGCGCCTTCAGGCCAAGACAGTCATATGAACACGTGTTCCGCCCTCACAGCGTACAAAACGCTTGTATCGTAATGTTAACGAATGTGAAGACTAGAACATTTAACAGTATAGATTCCATTATTTATATTTTACAGAAATTTGCATGGACGTTTAACATCGGTGACCAAGACAACGACAAATAAAGACACCTGTGAAGCTTGATGATAACATATGTTTGAAAACAAGAATACAATTTGATTTTTTTCTGACTCCAATATTACGCATTATATAAAACAGAACAGTATGTTGTGAAATGTTTTACTTTCTGTATATTCTGGTATTATCAGCTAGCAACATTAAGTTGCACTCAGATTAACATAAAACTGACAAATTCATGTACAATCAATAAATATATTATGCATACACTTTGTCTGTACAACTTGTATTGCAATACCATCTGATGTGAAGTACTAGCTTAGTATTCACATCTCATGCCGTCATTGCAAGTTTGAATGATGTATATCATATTGTAATATATGTGTGTTTTAGCACGTAAATAGTCTAAGTCCAAAACGAGCATGTTTTTCAGCGAAATAGGTACTACTCGACCCTTAGTCACCACATCACATTTTATGTGATATTAGCCTAGCGTAGGGCGACTTTACACATGAAATTGTCTCTAAAATGATATTGTGGTAAAATCTGGTCATCTTTATGTGGTCATATTTAAACAAACAAATGTTCTAATCACAGCTTTTGCCACTTTAATGGACACTCAGAGATCAAGATCATATTCAGATAGTGATCATATTACTATAAATAGGTAGTACTAAAGGTTTAGATTCAGGTGCATTGACACTATTAGATAACACTCGTATTTAAACAGTAGTTATATTTATATATTGCATTATTTGCCATACCTGATTTTCTATTTTTATTCGTACGGCTTGGACCATGATTATATCCCCGCTACACTAGTATTTTAAAAGTTTCGTGTGATTTAAGATACGGTGAATTCCTACTGCACGTGTACGAGTATCTTAAAAATCACCCATAACTCATATCATGGAAACATTTTTTGCAACGAGGCTAGACCTAACTCACTGGTTATGTTAACAAGTATTCCTGGACTGTACGTCACCGAGCATTCGTTGCTAATGGTTGCATTGATTTTGTTGACTGACTTAGGTAGTTTTAAAACAAGTAACGTGATCGCTGTCAATCTTCCTTGTATTCAATATTCGATGCGAAACATTTTCTATTTAGACTACTCTTAGCTAAAAGACATAGAACGAGAGTTTTTCCAGTTTACAGAAACAACACAGTAAATAAATCCATATCGTTAATGGTACATTACCTAACTTACAAATGTAAAGACATTTATTGTTTTTGACATTTGACATTGGTTGTTCCTATCGGAGGTGTTGTTTCCCCTTTCGAATTTATAGACACTTTTTATTCGTGTTACCGCTGTGTCTGAGTAAAGTTGCAACTTCGAACGTTACGTGTTTACTAAGTTAGCCCTGTTTAGAGAGTACCTCAAGCAGAGTTTGAATAGCAATGCATGGCTGAATTGTGGGTAGTGTAGAAATAAGTAATGTATTCGTTAAACCGCACAATACGCCATCTTTTGATTAGTATAACTCGCAAACGACTTAATTTTCAGATTTGATTTTTGGCCATGTGTTATCCATATCCACGACATTTAAAAAAATTAAGACGTTTTAATACATCATTCTCAGAGCAGCATGCCGATAATACCATTTTTACGTGAATTTACTTTTTCGGTAAAATATATATCAGTATCAGTGAAAGAAGGTTTTAATTATTAGTTTAAGAAAATCGTGAATACGTCTGAAATCTTAGTTTAATAAAACAGTGGATTCAAGTTTTGTTTTCTAATAAAATTCGTGAGTATATATTGTCCTTGTTTTGTAAACATCATTTTGGTGATGGTATATTTTGGGTATGTTTGTTCATACTGTGTGTTTTGGATACGACCAGCCACTGGGTCGAGATGTCCAGGGTCGAACTCGCGATGTCTAGATACCTCTTTTTGTATCAGGTTAAATCTTTAAAAAAGATGAATGGTAAGTTTAAATCGGACGCGAAACTATATTATCAGGTGCTAAATGCACACGCTTTCCTGTCATGCGTGATTTATGCAGATCATTCTGTTTTATTTAATCAATAACTATAATTTATAATAATAATTTAGTATTAATCAGTGAATGTGAGCATTCAAATGAGGGAGAGGAGAAGCTAAACTACATAGGTCCTCTTGTACCCCAATATGAATCATTATTCTATATTAATATATGGTGTTATAACCTTCGCATATATGCTTATATTATGCGCTCAGAAACTGATGCGAGCTGTCAATCATGCTGGCTACTACAGTGATGAAGTTACAGTTATGTTACCATAGCAACACAGAAGCCAAATATTAATAGTGAGTCACAAGCAGCCTGAAAACAACAAGATTACACATTACAACCAGTCATTACAAGCATGAAATTCTCCACCCCTCCCAATACACCCTACAGAATTAATGTTTCCTATACTCATTTGCATCTTTGTACAACAAGCTAAGCCAATAAATGCACCTGACTGATCAAACTTTTGACCAACCACTCACTTCTAATTATTGTTGAATGAGGGCGCTATTTACTAATGAGAGAAATCTTTTATATGAATTAAACAAGTGATGCTTCAATTAATGAAGGTTTACAGTTCTGAAAACATATTGGAACAGAACTTAATAACTTGTATCCATGGAGCTTGCAGTCTAGCCGCGGCTCAATTTCGGCGATACACCATTTCCCAGGCAGTGAATCACAATTAGTGTTGAAATAAAACTAAATATTAAAATTAATTCATCACAACATTACAATCAGTGAACATCAAGTGATGGTTTAATTAATGAAAATATATAGTTCACTCACCTGAAAACATATTGGGACATGACTTATAACTTGTACCCATGGGCCTTGCAGTCTAGGCACAGCCCAATTTCTGTGATATACCATTCCCAGGCAGTGAATCACATCTAGTGTTGAAATTGAAAAATATTACAATTAATTCATTACAGTTTTACAAGCAATGAACATCAAGTGATGGTTTAATTGATAAAAATATACAGTTCACTCACCTGAAAACATATTGGAACAGGACTAAATAACTTGTACCCAGGACCTTGCAGTCTAGCCGCAGCTCAATCATGTCTTATGTGGACAGATACCATCATACACTGCATACTCGTTATTATACACTGCATACTCGTTATTATACAGTGTATAGTCTATATTGTACGGTGCTTACTAAAGCAATATACCAGGAGATATTGCACAATTCACGACCTATATGCACGAGCCGCAGGGGAGTGCATATATTGAGTGAATTGTGCAATACCAATTATCAGCCATTATATTATACCAGTATATTGATGGCGTTAATCCATTGATTTGATTGGTCCAAACACAAAATTTGCATACACAATCCATGGTATATTGGCTGATAATGCACGGCTAAACCAAGTGGCCCTGGAACATGAATTGACTACAGGTTTAATACGAAAATACATAACACCAGTATTATTTGATTTTTAGGGAAACATAGTGGTTGAATTTTAGAAGAATATTAAAAAAAATACTGAATGGTGGGATCCAAGTTGTGAGCGTCGGTCGTTGGGTGATTGTCGTTCGCCACACAAACCTAAACCACCGTCCCTTAACACCGTGAGGTGCCTACACGAACGCCAGAACGCTATGTTCTCAGTGTTGTTACTTTGAGATGGATTGCGAACTTCCAACAAAGAAAACATGATCTTTAAGTACAAGATATAATTGAGGGATTTAATGACATAAAAATGAAAAAAAAATATGAGTCACAGGCAAAAATGTATGCCACCGGTCCGGCAGCGGCAGCTGACAAAATTGCAGTGCACCCGGGGAATTGCCATCTGTTTCAAAAAACACGGGACAACGCAGGATTCGACGACGATATATGGTATTGTAATTCTTCACTATGGGTAAATAAATTACAGGAGATGATGAAGGTAATTTCGAAAGCTACAGATTTGTGCCGAGTGTACACCAACCACTGTATTAATAGAGCGAC